CAGTATGTGGCCTGAGAACTCCCAGACGTACAAGTTGGATTTCGAAGGAGCAGAGGAACTATTCACTAAATTGCTAACATGCACTGGATTATGGAGAAAGCCAGAGTGTTCCAGAAATACATTTACTTCTGCTTCCTTGACTGGGCACAACCCTTTGACTGTGCGGACCATAGCAAACTATGGCAAGTTCTTAAAGAAATGGGAGTGCCTGACCACCTTATCTATCTCCTAAGAAATCTTTATGTGGGACATGAAGCAACAGTTAGAACTAGATATGGAACAACTGATTGGTTCAAAATTGGGAAAGGAGTATGGCAAGGCTGTATATTGTCTCCCAATTTATTTAACTAATATGCAGAATACACCATGTGAAAGGCTGGACTGGATGAATCCCAAGTCAGAATTACTGTAAGATTTCTGGAAGAAATATCAATAACCTCCGATATGCAGATGAAACCACTCTGATGGCAGAAAATGAGTAGGAATTAAGGAACCTCTTAATGAGGGTGAAACAGGAGAGCGCAAAAAATGGTCTGAAGCTCTACATCAAAAAAACTAAGATCATGGCCTCTTGAAGACAGGAGGGGCTGGTGTGCTCTGGTGCATAGAGTCACGAAGAATAGGACATGACAATGATTAAACAAGAACAACTGCAGTCAACCCTCTGCTCATGATTTGTGTTCAGTCCCAACAGCTTAAGGTTTACTCAGGCTTCTATCCTTCTGGTGTCAGTAGAATGTATACCCAGCTTACAAAAATGTTGTTTGCATAATTATGTGGTAATTGTGTTTTAGCACTGTGGGGTGGTGTGTAAGCCAAAATAACAGCAAAAATTGTCCTCTGAAAAGTGGAAGGCAGTAGGAAAAGCGGAAAACCTAAAATAAGATTTGTGGGCCCCATAAAGGAAGCTGTGGTCTTTATTTGAAGACCTGAGCAGAGCTGTTAACAATAGAACCTGTTGCAAGTCGTTAGCTGAAATCCAGTAGTATAAAGTTTGTTGTTTTTTAGTTGTTAAGTCATATAATTAATTTTATACCCCGCCCATCTAGACTGAAGTCTACTCTGGGTGGCTAACAATAATAAACAGAATAAAAACAATATAATAAAATAAAAAACAACAATAATAATATAGTTCAAGATGAGGTAAAAATATTCAAGTGATGATAGGAGGGAAAGCCTGCCTAAAGAGGCAGATCTTCAGTTTGCTCTTAAAAACACCCAGCGAGGGAGCCAGACAGATCTCTGGGGGCAGACTGTTCCAAAAGCAAGGGGCCACTGCCAAGAAGGCCCAGTTTATAGTTCTTTCTCTCCAGGCCTCCCTCGACATTATGTCCCTCAGCCACCCTTCCTGGCTAGAATGAGTGATTCAGGCATTTCTAGGTGGGAGGAGGCGTTCCGTTAGATAACAAGGTTCTAAACTGTTTAGAGCTTTATATATCATCATTAACAGTTTGAAATCAATGCGGAAACGAATGGGCAGCCAATGCAAGGCAGCCAGAGTGGGGGAAATATGCTGATATTTTCTCGTCCCACTGAGAAGTCTGGCCGTCGCATTCTGCACCATTTGAAGCTTCTGCATCAATCTCAAAGGTAGTCCCACACAGAGCACATTACAGTAGTCTAATCTTGAGATTACAAGTGCATGGACCAGAGTGGTGAGTGTCCCAACATCAAGATAGGGACACAGCTGGCCAATCCGCAACAGATGGAAATAGGCAGAGCGGACCACTGCCACCGCCTGGGTTTCCATGGTGATCACCAGATCCAGATGGACCCCCAAGCTGCGAACCTCACTCTTCGCAGTGAGAGTCACTCCCCCAAGAGAGAGAGGGAGTTTCCCAAACCACCGATGGAGGGACCACCCACCCTCAGGACCTCTGTCTTGTCCGGGTTCAGCCTCATTCCATTCTCCTGCATCTATTGCAGTACAGCCTCCAGGCTGTGCTGAAGGGACGGAACAGCATCCACTGTGGTCGGAGAAAGGGAGATATAGAGCTGGATGTCATCAGCGTACTGATGGCACGAAGCCCACACCCCCTGATGACCTGACCCAGCAACCTCATATAGATATTAAATAGCATTGGGGAGAGATAATCGAGCCCTTTGGAACCCCACAATTGAGACTCTACGGGGCCGAAACACACTCCCCAAGCTGTACTCTCTGAGGACAGTCCTCCAAGAAGGATCAGAGCCAGGTAAGCGCCTGACCACCGATTCCCAGTTCAGAGAGCCTCCCCAGGAGGATACCATGGTCGACGGTATCAAAGGCGGCTGAGATATCGAGGAGACCAGCAGAGACATTTTGATCCTGTCGGACTTCCTCAGCAGGTCATCAAGCAGAGCGACCAGTGCTGTTTCCTTACTGTGGCATGGCCTCAAGCCTGACTGGAATGGATCCAAGGTATTGGTTTCATCCAAAAGAGCTAATATTTAAAATTAATGACATGATCAGTTGCAGCTATTTTTAAGGAATTAAAAGTTTCAGATCCTCCTAAGGTTCTGGGGTTCCCTTAGGATATGTTTATTCCTGGGGAAACCTTTGAGGACTGTGGACTGGGGAAAGCATTTCATTTCTAAAAACTGATTTTTGAAAATTAAGGGCCACTGGTCCTGTGGCCCCCAAGGGTGACCTGAAGACAGAATGTATCCCCATGGAGCCTCAGGACTTGAGAAGACTGATTACATCATTACCTTTTTTAGCATAATTTCATACTACCTGGATTTCAGCCACTTCATGGTTTCATTATAAGTTGGAAAATACTTGATGGCATAGAACAACAGTAGCAGGCATGTTGAACACACTGTCAAAATTATTGCTAGCTAGCTATATTAGACATGGTAGTTATACTTTTAACACTTTACATTAGCTTGATAAGGATGGGCAAAATGAACTGGTATGCTTGTCAGTAAGATTCAAGTAATTGTATTCTCAAATGTATTTGATAGTACTCTTGACTCTTTGCAGAAACTGCATTTGGTGCAATTGCCATTTGCAAGATAATAATCAAAATGTGTGGTGTTCGTTGAACAGTCTGAGCCAGGATACCTGAGAAAGCCTCTTGAAGGCAATATAAATAAGCCCCAACGTTTCCTTACTGTGGCGTGGCCTCAAGCCTGACTGGAATGGTCTGAGCCAGGATACCTGAGAAAGCCCTCTTGAAGGCAATATAAATAAGCCCCAAGAATTCTGTGATTCAAGCTTCTTTCTGTAATGTTTCAATCGTGCTGGACTTACAGCTCCTCCATGTTCTGTTCTTCAGTCAGTTACCACATAGATTAATTGACATGTTCATGAATTGTTACTGTATGTAATTACAAAGTTTTTTCTTGTTTAGACACTAGAATTCTAGGTTCTGTTCTTTGTCATTCTTTGACATCTTTTTCAAGTATATTCAGAATATTTAAACAAATATAATCCTATATCTACATTGAATTATTATTTTTTTTGCTCAGAATAATATTAGCATTCCTTTTCCACCACCTTATTTACTTTTTTTAAATGAATGTTGTAGTAGATTTCTGGGTTGAAACTAATAGTTCATGATATTTATAAGAGCTTAATTTTGTCTGTAATGATTTATCAAGTAGAAAAAATTATTAGGTGCAATTGCACTCTTGTTTAAATGCATGGATTACAATGCCTTTTACTTGGAGTATTTAATCATTGTGTATATGTTATACTGTTACCTTTCATAGGTGAGGCAAATGATAAGGATGTTCAAGTAATAGAATTACCCATAGTTGACAGTCTACACCCACGGCCTCCGTATCTGCCATTGGCTATTCCAGAAGATCTGGCTGATCGACTAATTCGTGTTCATGGTGATCCTGCAGTGTGGTGGGTCTCACAGTTTGTCAAATATTTGATTCGTCCACAGCCTTGGTTAGAAAAGGAAATTGAGGAAGCTACAAGGAAACTTGGCTTCAAACATCCAGTTATTGGGTAAGAATTTTTATTATGTGACTAAGGCTGCAACTGTAAATGTACTGTCCATGTTTCCCATTGAAATCAGTACAGTTTATTTCTGAATACACATGAGAACATACAAAATGCCCACCTTGTTTGGCTTCTTTCTTTCAAATAACACAGATTATCAATGGAAATCCATCAGGAATAATGACTATTAATTCGCAGCACTTGTGTTCCCCTTGGTTTTAAGCTCACATTAGTATATGAAGGTTCTCCTCTGCCTCCAGCTCATGTGATTTAGAGGTGTACTGCCATTTAACTATTCTAATCAATAGTCATTTCTGATTGTGTCCTTATGAACTTATCTAATAAATTTAAAAACCTGGGCTTATTAGAGAAAAGCATTTGCATTATATGGGTATAAATTGTAAAGCAACTTAATTGCACAACCATATATTATATTATGTGCTGTCATAAAACTGACATTACAACAACATAGCTATCATATGCAAGTATCATTTCAATATTTATGTTTGCATTTCGAGGCATTTTTTCCTACCCAAAGTCATCTTTTCTGCCCAAAGGTTTTCAGACTGCTTACAAAGAGAAATAAAATAAATAGCAATGGAATCAGATAAATTTAAAAGCAATCAAAACTGAAACCTAAACGAAAGAGTCCTCAACAGCCATGCAGCAAATACTATGGCAAAACATTACTATAAAAAGCTAGAATAGTAATGCTCATTCTAGTTCTAAATGCCAATTAAAGTAAGTAATATTTACAATATCATCAGAAGACCTGAAGCATGGAAGTTGATGATATTTCCATGACTTGCAGAATCTGCCTGTCACTTCTAAAATACTGTTCTGTGTCAGTTCAACAGGCATGCAACTTCATTTGAAAGAAGGTGATGCAGCAAACATACTCTTAGTATTGTTAAAACTTTAAGAAAGCTTTAAACTGAATAAGAAAAGACTACATTTTGACAGGTGTGCCTTTATGTTATATATATATTCATAGTCTCATTTACAAGTTGGGATTAAATTTAAATCTGGTGGTTGTGTCTATAAGAGAAAATCAAGCTGCTTCTGTTCAGCAGTAGCAACTTAAAGATATTTGCAGCATCATAATACTTTGATTCTACTGTGTCATGCATGAAATATGATAGCAAAAATATCTAGTGATTATAGTAAGCTTTCAAGAATGTTATTATTCTGTTCCAATCTCTACCTTGCAATTCTGCAGTTGATATTTTCAAAATATTATTGTCCATAATGTATATTTCTATTGAGGTCTACTCAGATATGTGCAAAACACACACACACACACATACACACACAAACCTCATCACCAAAACCTATATGAGAGAGTTCCCAAATTTCTTTTTTGCTCTCCAGTGTACATGTCCGAAGAACAGACAAGGTAGGAACAGAAGCAGCATTTCATCCCATTGAAGAATACATGGTCCATGTTGAAGAGCATTTCCAACTGCTCTCCCACAGAATGCATATTGACAAAAAGCGAGTGTATCTGGCTACAGATGATCCTTCATTATTACAAGAGGCCAAATCAAAGTAAGACCATTGTGTACAGTAGGTACAAAATTGATTTTATGTAAATAAATAAAGTGCTCCTTAATATGGCTGCCTTTAATTAGTTCTTGGTCTATATCATACTCCATGTTTTTTATGCAAAGATGTAAGTTGCAATCTAGACTGTTCCTAATGACTTTCATGCTCCAGATAGAGATGCAAAGAACTGTTCCTTCCTCCTCTGAATAGAAGATCTCCATGTTTTTTGAGTTTATAAAATAATTTTTTCAAAGATTATTTTTTCCACATTGTGCTAGAGATTAATAGATCATTCGGCTATCTCATGAGAAGAGAAGACTCCCTGGAAAAAGACGCTGATGTTAGGAAAGTGTAAGGCAGAAGGATGACAGAGACGAGATGGTTAGTCAGTGTCATCAAAGTTACCAACATGAATTTGACCCAACTCTGAGAGGCAGTGGAAGACAGGAGGGCCTGGCGTGCTCTGGTCCATGGGGTCACGAAGAGTCAGACATGACTAAACAACTAAACAACAACAATAGATCACCAAGTCACAAAAATAGTTGTGGCTTTAGAAGAAGATCTGAAGATCTGGGGAGCATTCTGGATTTGTATTTAAAATACTTTTACACCCCTTCCACTTTGTTGTGGGGACTCTTGTTGTCAAAATAGCTTCCTGCTGCAACATAATTATTCCTCCATTGTAACTCTTTCTCAAAAACCAAAGAATGTGCTGCTGCTCTAAGTGTCCCAGTGATGACACAGTGATAACATTTGATTGTGGTAGTCTGAAATGGATGGATCATTTGCAAGAAAACTACTTATTTCTGATGAAAATATGAAAATGTCATTTTCTTTAATAGATTTGTATATATGAATGTGGGAAGGGGCTAGGTTGCTAAAATATTGAAGCTGAATAACTTACCTAAGGGTAAGATATTTAAATAATGAAAGCAATTTAGTAACAATGGCTGTCACTAGAAATTTAGCAGAAAAAGTACTTTTGATTCAGTAGACAGGGTGTTGGGGTTATTTTCTTGTATTGAAATAAGATTTGCTGACTAGCTGAAAGATTCTGACTGGTTTTAGCATGATGAAGTGAATTAATACATCAGAATGATAATATCTATATTGAACAAACATAAACAAGAGGCTTCAACAAGGAAAGCTTATAAACATACAGAAGTGATTATTGTGTATCTCTGCCCCTTCTTAAAAGAGATCTTAGTGAAGCATAAACTGTGTTTCAGAGAAGACATATGGGGGCAAAATGACTTCCTGTCTATTTGTCAAATCTTACAGTGTCAATCTCTTATAAAACATCCAGTCAACATATGTTGTCACTGTGATCTTAGTTTCCACTGGAGAATTATAGGGACTGGCAAATCCAGTTTATTGCACAAAATGAATTATTGCAAGTATGTCCATCACTTAGACAGGTTACAAAGAAAGAAAGAAAGAAAGAAAGAAAGAATGAAATAGTTGTTGTGGGTTTTTCGGGCTCTTTGGCCGTGTTCTGAAGGTTGTTCTTCCTAACGTTTCACCAATCTCTGTGACCGGCCACAGAGACTGGCGAAATGTTAGGAAG